TTGAGACTTTGCACAACATCTTGTGATTAACATTAGTGATACTATGCATAAAGGATGTCAAAATTATTGTACCTTTACTATCTGCAAACAGAGTTATATTGCCAATGTCCCTTTGCAGAAGAGCTCTAATCAGTTTCTCTATAAGAGCTTTACCAAGACCTTGGCCCTATACAATAAAAATAGCATCAATAAGCAGTACATCGTTTGGAAGAGCTTATGTACAACTAATTTGGACTTATAACATGAGTACTTGTGTTGTTTATAGCTTTAAAATAGCTTATGATAGGTTCATAAGATGATTTCAATAAGCTCTCCAGGATAGCTTATGAAAACAGCTTACATAAAAATAGATTAACCAGAATTTTCCTTTGATTATGAAAGCAACTTACATAATGTGCACTTATTCAAAAGACCTTAACTAAGTTGTTTATTCAAATGAACCCTATAGTCACGGTTTAAGCTTACATTGGAACAGACAAAAATTCGTTTTGGCAGAAATGCAGAATGCTCGAATGCATTACCATGTGCATTTCATAATTCTTCCAATAAAATTAGAGATTCAAGCATTAGCAATCTTCATTCTATGGCTGAATATTTTGGAAATTTAGCAGGTGTTCAAGTAGAGAGTGGTTTTTACTAGAGTAGTTTGAAATAGAATGGAGGGGAAAAGTACAGAATACCACTAACTTTTTACGAATTTTGCATCGTTAAGTAAAAATGGACACTGAATGATGCCAATTCAATATTTACCATGATTTATACATTAGACTAAAGTATATTTTACATGAACTTGAGATTTTGCATATTCCACTTTTGGTAGCAAACTTTTCAAGCAACTAGCACCAGAGTTTTTATTCAAAATCCAAGTTCGTGACAGAAAATACCTGGTAACTAGGATCAACTAGAACATCCCAAATTGTGGCATTGAAGGCATGGTCAGACGTAGCACGGGCCATGCCAATTAATCTCTTCTGTTCATCCCCCTCTGTTAAATAACTTCGCCAAGTACACTAAGATGTTCATCAAATAGGTTTAGATAGGTATAAGAATAAAGAAAAGGCTTAACCATCCAACTAATTGATTTAGACAGAAAACAAAAACAAGATGCCATACTAATTTTACCTGACCCAGGCGACTTTCTTATAGAATGAAGTGAGGCTACTATATAGCTATTTTTCAAAGCCGCAGCTAATTTTGACAGTGGTCTACGTGGCCACCCTACCTGTCAAAGTCATAACCATTCATTTTGCCAGAGGGTGAGCATGATAAAATAACAAAGTCTGAGCACTTAACTTGTAGTGATAAAAGTTATACACTGAATTTGTAAATTGTGATGTTAAAAAATCCACTCGCTAGAGGTGTATTAAGGAAAATATACCAAAGGAAACTAGTGCGGTGATTAGTAAGAAAGTCCTAGTGTTGACAAACTAAGTAACTTCAAAACTAATATGATTTCAGTGTATTGAAGACTGTAGAGAAGTGACTTCAAAACTGCCTTACGATAGAAATTAGAAAAATCAACACACAACTTAAAGACACATTAGAATCACACCTTGTCACAGAGGGCTTCAAGATCATATACATCAATATCTCCACCTGAAGAGAATATTATTTGTTCAATTGTCCCATCAGGTTCTGTCTTTTCCACAAGGACAAACACTTGAGGCAGAGGTTCTTCATCTTCTTCATCTATAGAGGGTGGATCAATGACTTGCATCGAGTTATCTTTCATCAACCTGGACGAGGAAACAAGTCATTAGGTGAAGGGTATTTTCAAGATAAGAGATACACTAAGCATCATAAGTGCACTAGGATGTCTTAGCAATGTTAGAGTTAGAATTAAATAGCAGGGAACACGTACATATAAAATTTGTAAAATTATAACTCCCAAAAGCAACAGGGTACACATGTTTCATAATATTTTTATATTTAGATAATTAATAGCACATTTTCAAAAACTCTCTCGCGAAGTGGACAAAACTACGCGATTATTTTCTTCAAAATAAGGGGAAGCAAATACAACACAAAGTCAATATGAAAAGAATAAGAACCACCCTAACAAGTTGAAAGAATAACGAATCAAAGCGGTAAAGTTATCACAATATCTATTTTCACTATCTCCCGTTTTCTGAAGTTATTTTTTTATTGTTTGCCATACAAAATTCTGAAAAAAAAAGTGAAAGTGAAAATAAAAACATTTCTCAAACACAACATCAAACTTTACGAAATTAAGGCACAAAGTGGTCGATTTCCTGTGGATGTGTATAAGGTTTTGCACAATACAAGTGTAGGGGCTAGTGCCCTTTTTGTTTTCCTTTTATTATCAAAATGAAGAATGAAAATTGAAGGTACCCAGATTTAATTGATTCCCAAAATCCAGCCTTGAGCTGAAAAGACTTGAACTTTCTGGTTGCTGCAGCCAAGAGAGAAATCTTTACAGTGAATAAACTATGATAAGAAATTGAGAAAAGGGAAGAAGAAAGACAGTGAGAGCGTGTCCACCTGTAGTAGCAAAGGAGTAACTAAGATTGGAAGGAAATAATAATTGTGTTTGAGTAGACAGTGGAAAATTGGCATGAAATGGAACAATTGAGAACCTGAAACAAAAAATACAGAAATATATAATCATAACAATAAAAGTGAATGAAAAAAACCAGGTGTCGAGGTGGAAGATAAAGAGAGAGAACCGACGAAGAAGAAATAGCATTGATATTGAGGGTTAGCATTGTGATAATGAGAGAGCTGCTGCGTTCCTTGTCGTGTCAGTCTTGTCCACCCAATTCAACACAACACAACACAACACTCAGATAGTTAATAGTCGATGACTGATGATGCATGTATGTATGTAGATGATGTTGATACGATGGTGATGATGGTATGCGTATCTCCCTTGCCAACCACATTTTCGTGCACTTCTTTTTCCACTCTCAAGTTTGGGCCTTACCATTGGGTTTTAATTACTATTTACACTTTCTAATTAATAATTACACACTCCCTTTTTGTGGATTTTATTTGGGCCGTACCATTGGGTTTTAATTACTATTATTTATTTCCCTTTTTGCCTTTAGAAGTTTTATTTGAAGAGTATGTAAATGACCGAAAAATGGATTTCGGAAGGAGTGAACAAGATTATTGCTTCATGTGTAGGGAGGAAACATTGTCTCTAGAAACATTGTAAATGTTGCTTTGTTGACTACAATTTAATAATTGGAATGTCTGATATCCCTTTCTATGTATGTGTCTTTTATCGAGAAACCTAACACAAGCCACAGTTAAACATATGCAGACATATATCACGACTTTCCATCCCTTTAGTATGACGTTAATCATCCTTTCATTTCTTCACCTATCGTTTTTAGTTGGACTGACTGGTGCTAGAAGTTTAACATAGATAATTAATATAAAATTCTCTAACTGTACTAACTTAAATATCGTATTCCTTGCAGAAGGCAACATTACAATATCAATTATGCCACTAAAATTGGGACATATATGACCATTTTCTCTAGATCTCAAGAAGAACATTTGCTATTGCAATTATAGAGAGAAAATGATCACTTGTGTCTCAGTCTTGACGACATAAATTAATACTGTAATACTGACCAAATTATTCAATTTTAATTCTTTATAAGATTCATAATTCTTTTTCTTTGATTTTGCAGGTTTACAAAAGCGTAATGGAGAACAATTACACCATAATCTCCAATGTTGTGCATCCAAAATCAGAAGGCTAGGTACTTCCAACTTGGTTTTTAAAGCGCAAGCTTACCTTGATACCTTTTGTCAGGGACACTTTCAGTATAGGGATCATTATACTCGTCTGAGTCGATCACCAAGACAAACCATCGATATCACTTTTGGATCTATCGATGAGGTTCCATGTGGGTTACACAAATACCAATAACATATGAGCAAACAATATAAGGGATTGACACCACTCTTTACCCAAAACCTTAAGGCATGGGTTAATGGGTCTTTCATCTTTATATACTACTCTAATTTCATATTTTTATCGAATGTGAGACTTAGACTCACACTTGGATACCCAACACTACATTGCTTTCAGCTACTACTTGTAGACAACAAATATAAATAAACTAATTCATTATGTTGTTGGGTTATCCGTACAATCAACAATAATTAACTCAAATATTCCTTACCCTTGTATTCAAAACAAACAAAAACGGCAAAATAAGACTCAAACGGCTAATATATTAATTACTTATAAGACTCTAATAGCCAAACATTCAAGTTTATTCCCTAACCAATAAAACTCTCCAATAAATTTAAAACTTTTTCTCCTTCACCTTAGTTCTTCTATCCTTCATCCCGAGTAGCACATGCACTAACTCCTTCTTTCCTTTCTTTACTTATTCTTGGATGATGAGTAAACGTTCAACAATATGCTTGTTTCTTTCATCACTAATTGAGTTATTTGAGCTGTCCAAATGTACCACCGAGCTATCTACATGTTCCACCAAACTATCTACATGCTCCAGCAAGCTATTTGAGGTGTTTGGTTGTCCTGCCAAGTCGTTTAGCTTCATGTGCTCGCCCTTGTGTTACTTATTAAGTTGAGATACATCCAATCTCGATGACATCATTAACAACGTCATGTTCTCTTCAATATCTTCGGTGAGAAAGTTGGTGGTTTCTTCTCTTCCCTTTTTAGATTGACAAATTTTAGCAAAATGTTCAATCTTACCACGATGGAAACATTTATATGAGTAGCACTTCTTTGCATAATGGCCATATTTTCCACACAAAGAATGCCAATTTGTAGACAACAAATTTACTATGTGAATAAACTGATTCACCTATGTTGCTGCTTTTTTCATGCAATCGACAGTAAAATTTATAGACTCACACATTCCTAATAGTTGTACTTAAAGTAAACAAAAACGGCTAAAAACGACTAACACATTAACTACTCATAAAGACTTCAATGACTAATGCATTAACTATTCATAAAACTCAAATGACTAGTACATTAACTACTCATAAGACTCCAACAACTAATATATTCATTATCCATAAGACTCATAATGGCTAATTCATTTAAGTTTATTCCAAACCCCGCACTACTAGACAAAGTGTTCATGCCATATATGGAACAATTTTGACATGCAAACTTGTAATTATGAAAAAAAAAATGCTTTCACTGTTCGACTAAGCACACAGAAATTAAATAGCTTACACCCAAACTTGCTAGCATTAAACTGTATAATTACATATTTGAAGTGTGTGAAGGAAACTGGTATGGCATAGCACATTATTAGCGAGGAACAATGGTGGGAATGACACCACTGACAAGATTACTTCCTGACACATACGCATACTTGTGTTGATCCTCTCTTGCTGCATTAGATCCTGAAGATGATAAGGGTGCCATTTCACCTGAATTATCTATGGGTTCTGGGAATCTGGCTTCATCACTTTGTGATAGCACTGCAGCAATATCTTCTAGTTCCCTCACCACGTCTAGAATTGATGGCCTCTCCTCTGGTTTATCTTCGCAACATCTGAGGGCCAGAGTTAAAAACTTGTCCAAGCAATCTGATGTATACAACCCCATTCTTTTCCCTATAACGGAATATATCATGCCAGATCGACAAGCCGCATTAACCTGACACCAAATTATGTATCATTAATGATATTGTTAAGTTATCTAGTACTTCTTTTTACATGGAATGGAAATAAATCAGATATATCAGAATTCATGTGACATTTTTCTACACAATGTACTAGCAAAAAAGTAAATTTTGAGTTTAATTTGTATGCATTATCAATATACAATTATTTATACTGTCCATCAATCCAGAATCATTGTTGGTATGACTTCTGTGAAATTTATTGCAAAAAGAAAAATCTCATCATACGTATCCATGTGCAATTAGATATCAGTATAAAAATCTGTTCTATACTGTCAATGCATACATGGTTTACTCAAACTTTCATGATAAGTTTTATGCAATATTTTGTGATTAGGTGATCACAAATGACAGACAGAAAAAGTAACAGAAAGAGTACCTCGTTAACGATGTGTTTGCCACGTGAGATTGGCTGCATGCCGGTCAAAAGCTCCAGAAACACAACTCCTAGGCTATAGATATCACTTTTGTCAGTAAACTTATGAGTCAATACATATTCTGGGTCAAGGTAACCCTGCAGGCAAATTACAAAGTAATTGTCATATTTCAGATTGTATTGATTTTCAGTGTCGGTAAGAAAGGACAGAAATTGCAGCAGCCCAAAGTATACGATTTAATGATAGGACAAGATATAACTACACTACATCTAACATTAAATGGTAAGTGGAATTTGACTATTATGGAGTGGCTCGTACATGAGAATATTTAATAGAAGTGAAGAATATAACAAGCCAGGAAAATCTCATAACTAAATAGTCAAAATTGCATAGTATCAATCGAAATATTTATTTATATCAGAAATTTCTCAATGTAACTTCAGGTCTTCAATATGGAAACTGAAATCATTCCAAATTTTCTTTGACAAACTTACTAGTGTTCCCTTCACAACAGTTGACAGGTATTTAGTGCCAGATCCTTCTGTTGCAAGCCGTGAAAGTCCAAAATCAGCTACTTTAGCTGTAAATTTGGAGTCTAAAAGTATGTTGCTGGCTTTAATATCTCGGTGGAATATAGGAGGGTTAGCTTCTGTATGAAGATAAAGTACGCCTTTGGCTGCACCCAATGCAATTTTTAACCCCATACCAAAATTTTGTCTTTCCTTGGCTTTTTCACTTCTACCTGCCACAGTTTGGTATCTATTAACTTTGAATCATATCTTATTAGCTTCACTGAAAACAGCACCAATTCAAAATCATAGTTCTGCATTATTACACTATCCTTTGTCTTTACTTTATGACATTTTCGCTTCTATCCTTTTGGTTTCTACTTATAAAGATAGAATGAAAAAAAATTATGAACTTCAGCATTGACTACCTACCAGGATTTCCTTTGTTCAACATGTCTGCCCCAAATATTTGGAGAAAAAGAGATAATATGCACTAAGATAAAGAAGATATTAAAGTTGCTTTATTTTTATTTCCATATACAGAAAATTCCAACAATTACATACCAGAAATCCAGTCCCTTAGGGTGCCATTGGGCATGAATTCATAAACCAGCATCTGAACCATCGGAAAGAATATATGAGAACAGTAATATTTACTAATTGTAAACAGTTAGTCATGACTTCATCTCACCATTGAGCTTAACAGAACAGACACACCAAACCAGATAAACATAAAGAACAAGCATGCGAAATGGTCTAAACAGACTAAAGGAGACAAACGGTACACTAATAGAAAATTTCTATATCATAACACAACTGCCTCAATAGTTGGTGGAGGAATGCATATTATGCTATGGCTTTTGTGCACAACAATTTCTTTCTCACATTTGAATTCTTCAACACTTAAATGAAAGATGATGCAGACAACAAAGGTGCAGTTACTAGCTATATGATATGATATGATATATACCTGCTCCTCTTCTTCATTACAGTATCCAATCAGTGAGACAAGATTTCGGTGGTGTAACCTCGATAAAAGTTCAATCTCAGTCAAAAACTCCTTTTGGCCTTGTAAGGAATCTTCTGCTGCTCGTTTAATGGCCACAAGTGTTTCCCCAGACAAAATGCCTTTATGGACATCTCCATAACCTCCTTTGCCAATTATAGTTGAGCTGCTAAAATTGTTCGTAGCAATAGCCAGTTCTATGAAACTAAATTCTTTAACACTGTCTATTTTAATGTGTATACTAGGGGCTGCAAAAAGAAATAGGCATTGAATCCCATTCTTCAAGGAAATCAAAATGACGTTAGCAGAAAGATTTACAATACTTACACTTATGTTTCCTTGAATTCATGTGCTGATATTTTGCACGTCTTCTAAAAAGCAGTAAAATGATTAGAGCAGATGTTGCTAAAATACTAGCAACAGCTGATATTAAAGCAGCACCCAATATGAGTGAATTAGATCCACCCCTCTTTGAATCAGTAGCTATAAAAGGTAAGTTAAATTAGAGAAACTCGGCAAAGGCTAATAAATTCTAATAACAGATTAACTAAAAAGGAGAGATCTATAACCAAAGTACAAAGAAGGATGCATATGGTTTGGTAGCTTGTCTTTTTGTGTGCTCCAAACGTCACAAACATAAGGTATATACCATTAGATTAATATTTTCTACTTTAAAACAAGGCTTTTGATCAAACCAGATTTCCAATTGTCAGTGGTACTTAAAATATATAAAATTTTTAGTAGCATCTTTGTTAAAATGCTTTATAGAGAATTTATAGCGAAATCTTACAGTATTATGCATGTTAAAATGCCAATAACTTCTACAAGTAGCAAAAGAAATTTGTTCCCAAAATTCATAAAACAAATATTTGATGGATTGCAATGGTAATAGTGTAATCAACACATGGCATAAATTTGCTACGCATATAAGATTCAATAATAAAGTGATGAGATTACGAAACTTACTAGTTGCATAAGGTCCAACAAGAGTGAAGCTCAGGAGTTCATATGGTCCAAAGAAATGATTGGGAGGAAATCCCCATGATGTAAATGTGGTTTTAATACGAGAGACCTCACTTTCGTTGAACATATTTAAGTAGGAATCATATGAAGGGAACAGTTTTAAATACATGGTTATACGGTTTCCATCTTCCCAAGCAGATATTGATAACTGATAGCGTTCTAAGCTTAAGGAATCAGTTATATATAATACAAACATTGAAAAATAGGGAGCAAAGTAAGAAAAACTTGGACTTTTCAGCCTGTATCCAATTATCAGAGGAGCTGCACAATAGCAAGGAATTGGGAAAGAGGGTACATATAATTCATAGGAATTATCTACTTGGCAATCTTGAAATGGACAGACATTTGATGCATTTTCTGGGTTTCTGACTACTTCATGTTCTTCATCTCCTCCAGGTCCACAATATTGACCAATATTTTCTATGTTAGAATTGTCGCACACTGTATTGCCATAAAGCCTTCAAGGAAAAAAGAAAGAACTGACTCGAGATATTTGGAAAACACGTATATGAGTAACACGGACACTAGGAAATGGCAACTTCAAAATGATAGAACATGACACAGATATAATATAACATCTAAACTGAATTATAACTAACACGAGAAGAAACTCATAAATGGCAAGAGAAATTGTTGGGAAATAAATCAAGCATATAATTTTAAAAACTGTAGCAAGAGCTTCCTTGTTAGAAATTATACTTTATTACTTCATCATATTTAAATAAAGTAAGATGGTCATTCTTAAAATTTCCTAAAATTTTGAAAAGGGAAAGGGAAAATATATAAAAATACAACTAAAACTATTCAAATTGTCCATGTAGAATCTGGCATGGCTACAACAAGACAAGACATATCATACAGAAGTACTTGTTCTTCTTATAATTTATGACACTAAACAAAACATCATTTTAATTTCTTTCTTATTAAATGTATAGTGGCTGTACATAATTGTCACAATTATTTTCATACTAAAAGTGAAACACTTGAACTAAAAATTAAGCATAAATGTATGTGATATTTTGAACACGATCTGAACAATAAAGACTGAGCATATGTATTGAGCAAACCTCAAGGTAACATTTGGTGGGGGGTTCAGATTTCCCAAAACGTCAACTAATGAGTTATTTTCGAGATTGCTGCACACAGATAGGAAGAAGAAAATGAATTTACTTTGAAAACGACATAATATAAAATACACTCCATCAATAGTAAATTCCTTGTCAAATTGTTGAAATTAGAGAAAAATCTTTCTAATTAGAGAAAATATCAGTAGAATCTTCTAGTTTATTTTTTAGTATATTTTTCATTATTCTTTTATATTGGAAGATTAGATTGTTACAAATAGTGTAAGGAAATGTAAAGGTATGAATGATAATAATAAAAAATCATTCTCCCTTCAAGTCAAAGTTATTTAATTTGATGAAAAAATAATATTCCTTTAGATTGTAGCAGTAATCTGGATTCAGAAGTTACATTTTAGTTTGTCTTCAGTATTGAAGGCCCTGTCCTGCCATAGCTAGCAGGGATTGATCCATTTAGCAAATTGTTCTCAAGTACCTGTGTTTAACAATGGAAAAAAACATCAACCCAATGCCAAAGACTTTCACTTGGACAGAAGTCTCACTAAATCCAAGAGAGATGGAAACGATGGTTTCTTCAATAGAGAGTTATATTTAAGATATTTGAAGATATTGATATGAATAATTGAATGAATTTAACGAGAAAACATATTGACAGGTATATATCTTCTCACAGTTTTTGAAGATTGGGATATATGAAGCTTAGAGGAATTGGTCCTTCGAGAAGATTATTTGATAGATCACTGCAATAGCAAGAAAATTACTGCATCAAACTCAAATATGTCATTGCTAGTTGACTAGGATTAAGCAAATTAACATTTGATGAAGGGAAACCAACATAGATACAAAATATACAAACAAAACTTGAATATTTACATACATAGTTGTCATATTGTCTGCAAGTTTGTTTGATGGTATAGTTCCAGTAAACTGATTCCTGCTAAGATCTCTAAACCATGAACCAATCAAATTAGTTGGTAACTAAAACATGAGTAGTATGAAATATATATTTTTTTTAATTTTATTCAATTTTACTTTGAAATAAAAGTAAAAACAAAAAAAGAGGGACCCATGCGTAAGCATGGGTATCCTACTAGTTCTCATTAAATACAATATATAGAGAGAGAACAAATCCACAAGTGATATTTTAACTTACAAATAGCTAAGGTTGGTTATTGAACTGAAATCAGGAATATTTCCTCGCAGACTACAGTTTCTCAGTGTTCTGTTCAGTCAGACAAGAAAAAAAAATAAAGCTTAAATAACAAAATAATCACAGTATGCTGTTGAATTAACAGTTGAAAATAATCTTTTGATATAAAAACTCAAGTACTTTGTTGATAACTGAAAAATGGTCAGTAAGTACCTGTAACACTATATTAAATTTAAAACAAACAAAAAAAAGTGTTTATCCTAAAAGTACTTACAGTTTCACTAGACCGGAGAAGTTTTCATACGTGGAAGGAATTTCATTCCCGTTGAAATTATTGTTATCAAGTTGGCTGCACCGGCAAAAAAGTAAATGCCAAGATCATAAATTGTTGGTAAAAATCCCTTTTCTAACAAATTTATAGTACACATGAAAGCGTTCAAAGTGCTGTTATACAGTGACATCAAATGTTTATGATAATTAACAACAATTCTGGATTTTTATCCTTCTCTACTTCTGGACGCTTATTTTTGGTAAGGCACTTGTTTTAAGGAAACTTATGTTTCATTGAGATTAATATATATTTAGTAAGGATGTATCTAGGATTGTTTTTAATCTTTCTGTTATACAAAACTATTGTGCGAGATCTCCAACCATATATATATATATTTGGAGAACTATATCTAGGACATTTGATACCAATGAACCATAAACAAACCCGTATAAGAGATTAAGACAGTACCTTTAGATAATAGTTGTGGGTCTTTCTCTTTATATATTACTCATTTCTATCTTATGTAGGACTTAACCCATTTAGATTCCTAACAAGAATTATAGTTAAACATCAAATATTCACTAGTCCATAAAATTACCAACTGACGTCCAAAATGTGCTATTATACACGGTAAAGTCCTTCGTAGAATACCTAAAAGACTACAAACTTTTGAATTCTCAGCTGAATACTAGAAGTAAGAACCACTTTTGCAAACTAAAATGCTTCAACTGTTCACAGGAGTCCTGCATTTCACTGTTGCCTAAGTTGCATTACTGGATACAACACTCACTAAAATGGAAAGGAAAATCTCACAGGCTTCACCTGTGAGTACAAACAAAACACTGAACACTAAAATGAAAGGTATCAATGGATGGATCATGTACAATATAGGTAGAGGATTGATTTATGGGAAGCATGGATTGTAAAAGACTATTCATGCTAGACATTTTAGAAAGAAAAGAAAAACTAAATACTTCTCAATATACATACCTTTTTTATCAGTTTGCATCTTTATACCTATTAATGGAACCTAGGGCTCTGCTAGTGATATGTATGCTATCATATTTCCCCATCTAAAATATTTTTGTAATTATTTTATACCCAGACTTCTATTGCCCTGTTTATATCCCAACTTTTGGCATGGACAGCACAAAATGAATCATAAATAGCTTAAAAAAGAGAAACTCTTATTAGTCATTGGATTGAGTTTACACACAACCAAATTACCTTGGGGATTGAAAAGAGTAAGAACATGAATTGATGATACATTACAAATCGCTTAGGTTTCAAACGTGTCATAGGACTCCATAATTCCATAAAGCAGTTGTTTAAAGTCGATTATACTAATAATTCAAATCATTTTATATAGAGTTGCTTCCATTTTGAAGTAAGAAGCAAATGAAAAGAAGGATTTCATGCTGAACATTAAGGAAATAGGTACCTGCATGCGTAAGCAAGTCCATGCATGCAAGACATGACTATCATTTCCTAAATGCTAAAAATAAGTCTAAGAGTAGGGAGTCCTTGAGAAGAAAGAATGGAATTCTATTCAGAAATTTTATGTTGCCATTTAGTTCTGTACTATGATGTATCCACATGGCTCTTCTGTTAAGCATATCTTCAATTGTCAAAACAACCTAGACAAGGAGCATGTACCTATATGGTCATAAATGTTCTTGTTTCATCATCCTGAAAACATTATTTATCAGAGAATGATTTTAAACATGTCTACTTATGCTACACTAAATATTAAGCAATGCATGTCAACAGTAACTCAAGTAATAAATACTACAATCTAAACAAGGTGGAAGTAGAACATACAGTATTCTTAACCGTTGTAAGACAGAGAAATTTGATGGAAGGTAACTAGATAAGTTATTGTTGTCCACAAGCCTGAAAAGTCATTTCAAAAAGGAGACAACAAAAAGTAGTAAAGATCCTGCCGACATGCTTCCCAAGATGCAATGGAAAAAATTTGGCTTCAATACTCACAAATGCACAAGATTAGACAGATTTGAAAGCGTGGAAGGAAGTTGACAACAGAACGAGTTGTTATTCATGTGGCTGCGAAGATTCAAATGAAGCAGATAACAGAACAGGTAAGAAATCTAGCTGCTATATGAGATTATGGTGCATTTGGTTCATAGACCCGCTTACAGATGTTTAACTTTGGCCATGTTGCCAAATGACTCCGGAATAGGACCTGACAATTGGTTTTCATCAACTTGGAGTCTATCCAAATTCCAAAGGTTGCCAAGCTCATCTGGTAAACTACCAGATAACTTATTCCCACTTAGGAGCCTGCGTAGAAAATATACCAAAAATAACTGAGGAGCACCAGCATGATCACTACTGTTCAGTCATTAACACTGACATTCAGAAAGCAGAACATCAGAATCAGAAATTTCCCCCACACAGAAGCTTTTATTTTCCAAAAATTTCCAAGTATACTCAGTCAATTAATTCGACTCTGATGATCTGAACAACAATCTTGTCTCAGAGAAATACAATATGCTTATTCATAGCACATCAATATCAACAGGAATTTTATTCTGCATACACACTAAAGCAAATAAGATCCATCTTTTAAACAACTATTAAGCAAATAAAAACTTGATGAGGAACTGTACTAATACTTTTACTGCTTAAGTAATGTTCTTACAAGAGTTCCAATGGCAAGATATTTCCAATTTCCTTCGGTATTGTGCCTGTCAAATTGTTCCACATGAAAGACCTTCAAGCATAAAACAATGAGGATATTAGCATGTCATATGATAATACCTTTTCTCTGATACCGTTATTTGCCTTTCCATGCCACAATTTATAGCATTACACAACTCACAGTATCTTAAGATGAGATAGCTGACCAAGCTGTGGGGCTAAACTTCCCGAGAGATTCATAGTCATTAAGTAGCTTCATAAAAGAGAAACAACAGAAAATAATTAGAATATATTAATCCCCTGCACATTAACTCTTCCTTATATAGTATCTAAATAAAATAAATTGAAATTGGGACGAGTTAAAGAAAGGAGAAGGATGAAAAATGTATACAGCTTTTGGACATGGAAGTAACCATCAGCCTCCTCCCTATCAAAACAATAAACCCCAGTCCACTCTGCCATACATGGGTCACCGGAATTCCAGTTCCTTAGATTGTTGTTAGGATCAATTAAACTTTCCTTGATGGCTATCAGTGCATTTACTACAAATACAGATCAACTACCAAGGTTAAGAGTTGTATATGCAATAGGTTTGTGGCAATGCAAAATATTACACTAAAACATATCATCATCATGATTACAAATTTCTCCTGCATTTTCCAGCTTGGACAGGAATTTTAATCCAAGTTCACTAGTATAGAATCTAAAGTCACAAGCTAGAAGGGAAAAAGTGAAACGGAAAGTTTCAAAGTTTTGTAGGGCTTAACAAATTCACCTTCTGAAGGGTCTGTTTGAGAAGCTTCTGCAAAGATGATAAAACAACACAAAACAGCAAAGGCATATGCATGAATTCTTAGAGTCGGCATCAGAGAATATCCTGGAAAGAAAAAGAAATGTAAAGGGTGAATGAAAGAAGTACTGAAGCATTGTAAGAAACAAGTTTCATTGTGGTTCATTCAAAACCCTGACATTGGCATAAAAATTCTTGAAACAAAGCAGAATTAACCCCTACCGGAAAAAAAATGCATGGAAACCGTGACATATTGTCATTTGGCCCTCTAACATCACTGAAATTTGAAAATATAAAAACTAGCTGAAAGCAAGCTTCATACAACATCAGGTTGATTTCTTAAGTTTGAAACTTTAAAGTTGGCTAATTTGTGTAGCTTCTTGACGTCCCACTTGGCCAAACTAACTATAACATATAAGTGCAGTGAAGTAGTATGATTCTTATTTTAATTTTAAACTTGATTTTGTAAATTAAGTTAAATATGAATTTACTTAATAAAATTCAAGATAAGTTAATCATAATTTCAAGAGAATTTTTCTATTCTTTTTATCATAAATGTTTATAATGTTTATGAATGGTTTCAATATTTAATTTATCTGTTTTTATAATTATATATATATATATATTAATTATTTTTATTTAATAATTATTTCAATACTCAATAATTCACATAGTTGATATGTCTTTTAAAGATATATTAATTATTTTTATTTAATAATTAAAATATTTTCTTTTTTTATTATTTTGTAATGAATATATCGAGAAGGCGGTAATTCACTATACTCAATAATTTTGTATCGTTTATTGTTTAGAAGGAATCGAAATCAAATTAAGTTTAAATTTTTATTTTTATTTTTCAAAACTTTTTTTAAAATAAAACCGTAATGGAATTCTAGTTTCAAATTTGAACACTAATTTTACAATATCATTTATCATTTTATACTTATTTAGTGTAATGTTGGGTAAATAATTTCTTTATGAGGTGGCTGAAATAAATTAATACTTATTTACAAATTACATAAATAAGTTAAATCAATTCATTCAATAAATCGATTTACAAAATTTATAACATACTAGAAAGTGAGTGAAAATGACTTAAGTTTTTTATTTAAGTCGTTTGTATAATTGATTTTAACACTTGTAATAAATATTAATTTTTAAAATAATTCTATAATAATAAATAATATTTAGATTTAAAATTTATAAATACTGTTATACTAATATATTTATATATGTATATGTATTGTTTTTTATAATTTATTGGAGAGTACTAAAATAGAAATAAAATAATTAATACTAAAACTCGTTGCATCTTACTATGAAACCATTTTAAAGATTTGAAATTATACTATTATGGAAAGGATACACTCTAAGTGAAAAAGATTTTGTTGATAGAAGTCAACATCCACTTGCAAGAAAATGAATTACAACATAGAAAAAAAAATGCTTAAAACAACATGTTCGTACACAAATTTTGAAATCATATTCTCCAATAATATTTGTTAGCATAGACAACCTAATATATATTGCATATCTATTATAAAGTTATCTCCGTAGTGGTGGTATGGAAACTTACCGAGTGAGAACTTTCAAATTTACAAAAACCTTAGAATTCACAATAGGTTTAGATCTTATTAGTGTAATTGTATGGCATAAACATTCAATATACATCATATTTTAACAGATTTAAATACCTATGAACTTTAGCATATGAAGCACACGAGTGTCAACACTCACCAAGAGTCCTAAACCATTTATATGTAATATTGATGTTTTTTTTCTTTTTGAGCTTGCAAGTAATTAATACTGATATTTTTTTAGTTTACATGTAACACAAGTATCTTTATAAAATAAAAAATAATTTCAATATATATATATATATATATATATATATATAT